ACGTTAAAAATTAACAATGACAGCGTGTTTTACTTTACAAGATGACTGCCACTCGCTTACTTCTGTTTCTCTACCCAACAAGCCCCCAAAAACAAGGCAAGAAACGATCGCTATGATACCAAACCAGAAAGTGACCAACACCTAATTCTTCATCTTTTTTTCTTCTTGTTTCAGTTGAGATAACTATAAAACTACTTTATCATTAACATCAGTTTAAACCCGAATTCACTCTAAGTGATTCTGGGTAGTGCACGATATTATTGCTTAGTAGTAATGACTAGTAGTAATTTAAAAAATCACAATTCTAGTGTAAACGATGTTATCGTTACCCCTTGAAGTTGGCTTTCTTACAGAAACTTGGTGTTCCTTTAAACAACTTAAGTACAGGGTGAAACAGAAATTACCAGCCAATAATAGATGGACATTAGATTACTGTAACATGTAGATACTGAACCATTTGTACACTGTAGAATCGGTGTGTTTAGAAAGCCAACCACTATATTATGTATAAAAGAGTGAAAACAAAATACACGTAATGTTAAATTATATTACACATATTCATTAAAGTAATAACTTTCAGTCATGGGAAGAACAAGTAATTAAAAACATGTAAATGTAAAATGGTATAGGGATGGCAGTCCAAAATGAATGACACAAGAATATAAGGATGATACAGTTATACACAGATAGTCCCCATATAACTATCAACGTTACATTGTAAAACACACCAGTACAAAATGGTTACGAATTGACCGATCTTGTAGCGAGAATCTGTATTAATCAAAATGTGTTTGACTCAACTTGATTTTCCTTGTATGCAAGTCCTGGATTCTTAGTTACACATTATTGATGCCTACCCTGACACGACCATGATATTGTGATAAACAAACTATATACCGACAGTCAGTAATATATAACTTCCAACCACAGTAATATCAAAGTCTGTTTGTTTTGAATTTCGCGCAAAGCTACACGACGGCTATCTGCGCTAGCCGTCCCTAATTTAGCAGTGCAAGACTAGAGGGAAGGCAGCTAGTCATCACCCCCCACCGCCAACTCTTAGGCTACTCTTTTTACCAACGAATAGATTAACCGTCACATTATAACGCCCCCACGGCTGAAAGGGCGAGCATGTTTGGTGTGACGGGGATTCGAACCCGCGACCCTCAGATTGCGAGTAGAGCGCCCTAACCACCTGGCCATGCCGGGGCCCTAACCACCTGGCCATTCCGGACCCTATTAAAGTCAAGTATGCATTGTACAGTGTAACATTAAATTTTAATATTGAAAGTCATGTAAGGATGATCTGTATGATCCCTATATTGTTGTTTGTATTCTATTTGGCACTGCCGTCCCTACGTCATGTTAGAAAATGTTTTTATTACTTGTATTTAAATATGCTCATTACTTACTCAAGTTTATTATCGATTCCGGTAAAGACGGTAGAATACTATAATTATAACAGATAATTATT